AGGATGTATTACCTACTATGGATGAATGGAAACTGAAGGTGTCGTATTTTGCAGAAATGGTCAAGATTTCCGCATATTTGAAAGATCAAACTCAAGAGAAATTTATTTTGGTTTGGAAAAGATGGATAGATTATATTCAGAGAAAGTATGAAATGAATAATTATTATATAGCTTTTGATTAGATTTTTTATTATTCTTATTTATGTATTATAATTTATATGTTATATACATTTTTTATATTTATGTTTATTATTGTATAATAGAGTTAAAGTATGTTAATACTTGATTGTATTATGTTTGGATAGTATTATTTAGATATGTGATGATATGTGCTTATCCCTGTACTCAGTTCTGGGAAGTCCGGGGGGGAAGGGGGGATGAGGGGGGTAGAGATATGCAAAATTTGGTGTATTAATATGTTATAGAATAATGTATTTTATTTTATTTTTTTAAAGAGGAGGTGCTCGATTAGCACCCCCAAACTGCATCCGAAGGATGAGGAAAGGAAGGAGGTGGGATGTGTAGGATAGTTGAAAGAGAGGAGGAGGTGTGGGGAGGAGGGGAGGAGAGGAGGAGGGAAGTAGGTAGGAAGGGTGAAAGAGAGGGCGGATGCAGGGGGGGGCTGCCGAACACCTCTGAAAATATGGTTATGTTTAATATGTTTTTTTATTATTAATGTACACCATATTTGTATTTAGAATTTGTTTATTTGAAAATTAATAAAAATTTGAAAAAAAAAAAGAAAGAAAATTGGGGATATGAAGGGAACGTCTCATGCAAAGATGGGCATGATAAAGGACCAAAATGGCAGGGACCTAATAGAGGCAGAAGAGATTAAGAAGAGGTGGCAAAACTACACAGAAGAAATATACAAGAACGAGTTTAACGTCCCAGAAAACCACGATGGGGTGGTCACTGACCTCGAGCCAGACATCCTAGAATGTGAAGTGAAATGGGCCTTAGGAAATCTGAGCAAGAACAAAGCTAGAGGAGATGACAGTATTCCAGCTGAGCTATTCAAAATCTTAAAAGACGATGCGGTAAAAGTACTACACTCAATTTTCCAGCAAATTTGGAAAACTCAACAGTAGCCATAGGATTGGAAAAGATCAGTTTACATTCCAATTCTAAAGAAAGACAATGCCAAAGAATGTTCAAACTATCACACTCATTTCACATGCTAGTAAAGTTATGCTTAAAATCCTACAAGCTAGACTCCAGCAGTATGTGGATCGAGAACTACCAGAAATACAGGCAGGATTTCAAAGAGGCAGAGGAACTAGAGATCAAATTGCCAACGTACGCTGGATCATGGAGAAAGCTAAGGAGTTCCAGAAAAACATCTATGTCTGCTTCATTGACTATGCTAAAGCCTTTGATTGTGTGGATCACAAATTGTGGTAAGTTCTTAAAGAGATATCAGACCATCTTATTTGTCTCTTGAGAAATCTATATGTAGGTGAAGAAGCAACAGTGAGAACTGGACACGGAACCACTGATTGGTTCAAAATTGGGAAAAGAGTCCGGCAAGGCTGTATACTGTCACCCTGCCTATTTAACTTATATGCAGAGCACATCATGAGAAAGGCAGACCTAGATGAATCAAAAGTTGGAATTAAGATTGCCGGGAGAAATATCAACAACCTAAGGTATGCAGATGATACCACTCTAATGGCAGAAAGTGAAGAGGAACTAAAGAGCCTCTTAATGCGGGAGAGTGCAAAAGTTGGCTTGAAACTCAACATTAAGAAAACCAAAATCATGGCATCCAGCCCTCTCTATTCCTGGCAAATAGATGGGGAAGAAATGGAGGTAGTGACAGATTTTATTTTCCTGGGCTCCAAGATCACCTCAGATGGGGACTGCAGCCAAGAAATTAAAAGACGCTTGCTCCTGGGGAGGAAAGCTATGGCAAATCTAGACAGCATATTAAAAAGCAGAGACATCACCCTGCCAACAAAAGTGCGTATAGTCAAGGCCATGGTTTTCCCAGTTGCAATGTATGGATGTGAAAGTTGGACCATAAGAAAGGCTGAGCGACAAAGAATTGAGGCCTTTGAACTATGGTGCTGGAAAAGACTCCTGCGAGTCCCTTGGACTGCAAGGCGTTCAAACCGATCAGTCCTAGAAGAGATCAACCCCGACTGCTCTTTAGAAGGCCAGATCCTAAAGTTGAAACTCAAATACTTTGGCCATCTAATGAGAAGGAAGGACTCACTGGAGAAGGGCCTAATGCTGGGAAAGATTGAGGGCAATAGAAGAAGGAGACGACAGAGAATGAGGTGGCTGGATGGAGTCACTGAAGCAGTAGATGGTAGAGGACAGGAAGACCTGGAGGAACGTTGTCCATGGGGTCGCGATGGGTCGGACACGACTTCGCAATTAACAACAACAACTGTCAATCTAGGCAAACTGCACAATTGGCATCTGAGCAACTGCTTAATTTGCTTTATGGGTAGACTGCCCCTGGTTGAAGGCTTTTTTAAAAAATCTGCAATCATCCACTATTTTTGTTTTCTAAGAATGTTTTGGGAACTTTCTTAGAATGAAAGATGGTATCAGAGACTAGTGTTTTGCTTTGCTACAGATTAGCCATCCAATAATTAGCCATCTAATAATATTTTAATGAGGTTTAAAAATAGATGGACAAGGAACTCAGTCAGTGCTAACAATTTGTCTTAAGGTGCATGTAATGTCATCAACTGTAGGCAAAAGTGATTAAATATAAAGAAGTCATGATATATAGTATACATTTAAGAACCAGTAGTTCCTGAATGCAGAGCAGGTTTAAAACTAACAAATAAATGCAAATTCTGAAGGTTATGATGAATAATATTCATTCTAATTACTGAAATATAATGTATAATTGCCCATTTAATCACTTCTCTACTTGAGACAAGGGCTGGCCAAATAGGTTTTTTCACTTGCATATGCATATTCCACTAAGGAGAGGACTTGGTTGAGAATGCCAGGATATTTAGCAGAAGATTTTAGCTGTTGAGAGACTTTTATTAATGAAAATTGGTGATTTATTAGAAGTACTGACATTCAATAATTAATAGGGAGATAAGAATTTGGGTAACAATCATTTCAGGAAAGCACTAACCTTACCAAGTTTATTTTTATATTATAAATCCCATCTGAATCCAAATTCATTTTAGCATCCAACAGTTGCTTTCAACTCTAAATTTAGCTTAATGACCTTTTCCATACAATGCTTTCTCCTAGGAGAGTAGCCAATTTCTATCAAGCAATTTCTGTCATGAGCTCTGTCATTCTTAAAACCTCCTGCTATAACTATATTTTCCAATGACAGCTGGCAGTTCGAAGTCAATAATAGTTTTTGCTCTCAGCTGTTCCCTCTTCTGCCCCAGTAAAGCTTAAGGGAGACTTTTCTTGAGGTGGATGGGGCTCAACAAAATAAGATAACAAGCAAATCCTCAAATAATTTAGTTCACAAATTTAAGTGAAGGCTAGGTTTATAAAACAGCTAAGATATATTTGCTTAATCATAGTCATACAAAGTAAATTTTTCTACAACACCAGTTGTGTTGAGAACCTGACCACAATGGGTTATTAAACAGGTATATGCATTCTAGAAGGAAAAAAAATGAAACCATAATTAATAATTAATCTATAAAATGTATTAAATAATTATTGAAGCTAATAGCATACAAAGCCATTAATACTTCGTATCCAGTGAGATGCAAATAGCAATTATACAGAAATCTTCAGCTGTTCACGGTATTTAATGAATTTAGTTCAGTGAGAGAAAGACAAAGTTAGTTCAAAGGTGGAGAAGCAAGTAAATTCAAGGAAAAAGCAGAAAAATGTAACATTATGGCTTCTTGCTATAGCAAAGAAATACTATAGCTAGAGATTTACAAATGTCTCTTAAAAATGTAGCATTCATAAATACATATGCAGACATATGTAAGAGGAGCAGCCAAACTAGACTCCAAACTAGGGAATATAATATAAAGCAAGAGAGGTTGCTTTGTTAGTGAGAAAGGAAAGAGAAAAGATTTCTTATTTAAGAGGGAGAAAGGAATAGACATAAAGAGAATTATCTTTCTGGGTAGCCCTAAGCTTGCTTGATGAATTGGAAAATGGCTTAGCTGAAAGGGATGAAAAAAGAAAAGACAGATTGAGGGCCCTTTTTATACTTGTTTTTTGGGAACTTATCAAATTAAAAGAAATAAAAACTTATTTGGAAAACCATAGAAAAAACATTTTCTTCTTTTTCCAGGACTGAAGGGGAATGAGACTCTGAGTTACAGTATTGTCAAAGGCTATCCTCAGCAAAGGAGCTTGTTGAAAGGATCAACAGTAACAAGACATGAGAAATAAGAACACTAAAGTTACCACTTAAAAAGTATTTCAAAATATAGTTTTTTATTATTCAATATCAAAAATTACAAGAGTTGTATTATTCACAGAGTGTAGCCACACATTTCCTTTCCTTTTAAGTAACAAGATTCAAATCACTATGAATATAAGAGCAAAGACATTAGGTTCTAATTCTCCCTTAGTCATGGAAGAGACACTGGGCTGTTCATGTCCTCTCACACTTAAACAGCACAAGCTCTGCAACAAGCCAACTGAAAAGCAAAAATATCTACATGGATGTCTGCAGAGATTCTCAGTTCCCAAAGACAACTGACCTTCTGTGTCCCCCCCCCTCTTGAAGACCTTTCGTTTCTCATCCAAGAACTAAAGATATTCTTGGATGAGAAGCAAAACTTTTCAACAGAAAAAAACCCCACACAGAAATTCCAATTGACTTTTGAAGAGGCATATTTGGGACACCTGCATGGATGGCTTCACCATGTCACAAATGCCACGAAAAAAATCAGCATGCATCTTTCATGCTAGCTCCTTTTTTGCATCTTGGTATTAGACAATATCAGAAATTTCTCAGCTGTTAATCAAGGATGAAAGATATCCATTCCAGGCTGAAGTCTGTGCCATACCTAGCCTAACAAAACAGAAATCCCTACCTATTTAATTTTTCTGAATTTGAAGGTCCAGATAGTCCATCCCATGTAAAGCACTAGGTGAAATTTTTTCATATGGAGTTGGAGAGTGAACAACGAGGGGCTGGAGAGGACGCAAAGCTCGATCCATACCAAGCTCTCCCTTGGCCATCTTGGAAAGGAGCCCATCCACCTGCATGAGAAAAATGGCTTCATTATTAGCATTAAGTTGCTAATTAAACAATATAAAAAGTTTTTAAGTTAAGACAGAAGCAACCTAGAACTAAGGAGAAACTTCCTGACAGTTAGAACAATTAACCAGTGGAACAACCTGCCTCCAGAAGCGGTGAATGCGCCAACACTGGAAGTTTTATAGAAGAAACTGGACAGCCATTTGTCCGAAATGGTATAGGGTTTCCTGCCTGAGCAGGGGGTTGGACTTGATGACCTCCAAGGTCCCTTCCAACTTTATCATCATCATCATCATCATTATTATTGTTGTTGTTGTTATTATTATTATTAAGTTTGACTCAATACATACTTGATACAGAATAAACCTGGAAGGGACCTTGGAGGTCTTCTAGACCAGGGCTTTTCAACCTAGATACATTGGCACCTGGAAGGTGGTACGTGACCATCCTAGAGAAGTGGTAGCGGGGAGAGGAATGAGCTGAAGCAGCTACAAGAGACGGCTGGAGCTGCAGGGCTCAGCAAAAGTGCCAGGATCAGCGTCGGGCTCTAACTGATCGGCGCTTTTGCGGAGCTCAGCAGAAGCAACAGGATCAGCACTGGACTCCAATTGATCGGCACTTCTGCAGGGCTGTCAGGTCTCAGCAGAAGCACCAGGATAAGCACCAGGCTCCAGCTGATTGGTGCTTCTGCGGGGCTCAGAAGCGCCAGGATCAGCTGGAGCCCGGTGCTGATCCTGGCGCTTCTGCTGAACCCTGACAACTCTGCAGAAGTGCCAATCAGCTGTCAGGGCTCAGCAGAAGTGCCAGGATCAGCGCGTGCAGGCAGGCAGGCAGGCAGGCAGGCAGGAGATGGGAATGAGAAGGAGGGAAGGAAGAAAGGAAGAAGATGGGAATGAGAAGGAGGGAAAGAAGAGGAAGAAGGAAAGGAGATAGGAATGAGGAGGGAGGTAGGGAAGGAGGGAAAAAGGAAGACACCCCCCCCCGACAGTAACCAATGTTAATGCGGCCCTCAATGAAATTGAGTTTGACACCTGATATAAAAGGTTGTTAAGTGAATCTGGTTTCCCCATTAACTTTGCTTGTCAAAAGATTGCAAAAGGGATCACATGACACTCCAGCCATCATAAATATGAATCAGTTGCCAAGCATCCGAATGTAAATCACATGACCCTGGGAATGCTGAAATGGTCATAAGTGTGAAAAATGGTCATAAGTCACTTTTTTCAGTGCCGTTGTAACTTCGAACATTCACTAAGCGAACTGTTGTAAGTGAGGAGTATCTGTACTTTATCACTTTTTTTCCTTTTTTTGGGGGGGATCATCAAGTTTTTGACACCTTGCTAGGCGACTGATGGTACTCGGATATTGCCATATCCTAAAAGTGGTACAATGGGTGAAAAGGTTGAAAAGCCACTAGACACTATAACACTTCAGACAAGTGGCTGTCCAGTCTCTTCTTAAAAACCTCCAACGACGAAGCACCCACAATTTCTGAAGGCAAGCTGTTCCACTGATTAAACTGTTCTCACTGTTAGGAAGTTTCTCCTTAATTCCAGGTAGAATCTCTCCTTGAATAATTTCCATCCATCCATCTTGTCTTCCCTTCTGGTGCTTTGGAAAATAAGTTCACTCCCTCTTCTTTATTGCAGCCCCTCCAATACTGGAACACTGATATCATGTCACTCCTAATCCTTCTTTTCTCTAGACTAGCCATATCCAATTCCTGCAACTGTTCTTCATATGTTTTAGTTTCTGTGACCTTAATCATCTTAGTTGCAGTTCTCTGCACTTTTTCCAAAGTCTCAACATCTTTTTTTTAATGTGGTGACCAAAACTGGATGCAATATTCCAAGTGTATTAGTAAGGTTTTATAAAGCAGTACTAATACTTCATGTAATTTGACTCTATGCCTCTGTTTATGCAACCAAGGATTGTATTAGCTGTTTGGGCCGCTGCAGTGCACTGCTGGCTCATATTTAAGTGATCGCCCATCCAAGATCCGTCTCATAGTTACTGTTTTTGAACCAGGTTTCACATAATCTGTACTTATATCTTTCACTTTTCCTGCCTAAGTATAAAATCTTGCATTTCTCTACAATAAATTTCATTTTGTTGAATGGGGCCCATTGTTCAAGTCAAGATCGTTTTTGGATCTGGAGTTTGTCTTCTGTTGGCTATTCCTGCCAATTTAGCATCATCTGCAAATTTGATGAGTTCCCCTTCAATCCCTGATCTAAGTCATTTATGAAGATATTGAAGAGTACTGGGCCTAAGACAGAACCTTGTGGTACCCCACTGCTTACTTCCCTCCATGTGGATCTAGTACCATTAATGACCACTCTTGTGTACGGTTTGTCAGTTAGTTACACAATGCATAGTCCTTAATGATACTACATCTACATGGAGGGAAGTAATTATTAGACGATGGTTAGGCTATATGATATTAGGCTATTAGTAGGCTATATATTCCTAATAATTGGGAAGTGATTATTAGGTTATATTATTAATCAATTATTAGGCTATCCAAATAGCCTTTGGGAAATGAGTTATATCCATATCTGATACTGAAGGTTCTTCCTTTCCTACCTGCAAATCAACCAAACTAGATTACTGGTTAAAATGATGAAAATATTTGAGAAAGGAACAGCTGATCTTAGACACATATTCCTATATGGGACAGAGTCAAGTTTAGGAATGAAAGAGAAACCCCTAAAAGCCTCACAATATTGGATCAAATTTGTGCCACCCAATAAATAAATGAGAAGTCTATGAGGAGCCCACAAAAACAAAAGGACACTTTCTCAAGTATCTTCCTAATGAACCAATACTGAAGAGTTTTATTGCCTGATTTAGAAGTAATATATTTTCCTGACTAATGATCACTGATATTCTTCATGAATTTATTTAAACCATTTTTAAATCACAACACCACTGTTTTAGTGAATTTCCCTAAGCAGCCATACAAGCAGAATGCTACTACTGAGGACTTAGTAACACCTTCCCCTCCCCCTCATTGCTTGACACTTACCCGCTGAGCATAGGCCTGGTCCTCTTGGGGCTGGTATAGCTTTCTAATCTCTATAGTTCTGCAGGTAAAGGATAATGTGAAAGAAGAGGTATTAGCCAAGTGATGCAATATCATTCCTCCAAGTTACTGTAAAATAAGACCTTTCTAATTATTATTCCCCTGTATATAAAAACAAACACCTGACTTATTGTTAAGTTAAGAATGTGATAGGAGAAATGGTGACTGAAAGGATCTGGAATTTGCTTTATATCTTATCCTCTCCTGGATAACATATATATCTGTAGTATCATGTTCTGCTGCATAAACATTTTATATATAGGCAATCCTCACTTAACAATTCACGGCTGCTGGTAACTAGGAACGGCAGCTCAGTTGCTAAGTAATGTGATCATAAAGCGTAATGTCATGTGGCAGTTATTTCTGACCTGCCAGCTTTCTGATTAATTTTGCTGGCAGTGAAGGTCACAATGAGGGATCATGTGAGCCATGGAATGTTGCCACTATCGTAACTGCGAGCAAGTTGCCAAAAGTTTGAGTGGCAATTGTTTTGCCTGCAGGGATGCTACAATGGCCATAACAACAAGGAGCAGTAATAAACATCTGGTGGGTGACTTTGGGCCAGTCACTGTCTCTCAGCCCAGCTCAGTTCACAAGGTTGCTGTTGTGGAGAAAATAGGAGGAGGAAGCAGTATTAGTAACATTTGCTGCCTTGAGTTACTTATAAAGAAATAAAGATGGAGTAAAAATTAAACAAACAAACAAACAAACAAGTCTCCTAGTTCAGTGCTATCTTAACTTTGAATGGTTGCTGAACAAGTGGTCATTAATTGAGGATTATGCATGTAAACGTATTCCACCGTCTATGTATCTAATTCAGGAAAAAAAAATATTTCAGGACAAAAAATGCTTACCTAAGCTCATTTTAGTTTAGAGAATGATTATCTGATATCATCATTACTATCCTCAACCTCCCTGTTCATTAAAGTTCTCTGGAGTGGGTCACCTAAGCTATGAGTGACTTGACTCTACAGCCACCTGGTCTGTCAAATGTGCTCCTAATCAAATTCAGGGACTCAACTTTCTTGTTGACATTTCAGAGCGTAAAAAGTGTTTTGTTGAACAGGTTTTTAAACTAACTAATGTACGTTAGTTTAATATAATTAGTCATTTATATGTTTTAACTGGAATCACTATGAAACTCCAGTATTTGAAAGTATAAAATTTTAATGACAAACAAAAATACAACTTTTTCAATGTAACAGAATAGATGGTGTAATAGATGGTGTAATTCTTTCAATATTTATAATATTCACAGTATTCTACCTACATTTCAGAAGACATATTTGTGGTTGAAAAACAGCAGGATACAGCAGGTCTTTTTTTAGGGCAAGAGTAGTTAGAGGAAAAGTAAGCAGTAAGAAGCCTCCAGGATCAACTGGATTTATCTGATTTCCTAATCTGTATTTGCTTTTTAAAAACAGAAATAGGCGATATTACTATCAGCCGCCTTGCCTACCCTACCAGGTTCCATCCCAAAAAGGTGCCGGAACTCCGCTCTGGGCGTTCTATGACAAAAAGAAGCCCTAGTCCTTCTAAGCAAAGTTATTATTTCTACCAACTTCCTTTCTATAGTATCAGCAATATCAGTATAATATCAGCAATATGTCAACACTAATCTAACAATCTTGGTGGTTTTCTCTTTTTAGCGCTGATGATATTTTCAATCTTCCTTGAACAAATTTAAGATACTTATGTGAGCTTCAAACCTGGAGACTGCAAGACTGCTTTTTATCCATATATAAGTTCCATTGAGTAGGAAAGAGGCAAAGAATAGTTAGGATGCTGTTATCAGCATGATATTCTTGTTCTGATAAAAAGTAAATCCTTATTTTAATTCTTAAATAAAACAAAAATCAAACAATCTTTTATATGCATTTCAATTTTTCATTGATTTTTTTTTTTAAAAAATACACTAGTATTCATAAATAACTGAAAGTTCCAATATCATAATAAACTACATTTTAATTTGGATTTATCTGCAAACAAATTATTTTGTTTCCTAAGCCTAGAAATGTAAATGATGCAATTTATATATCTGAATAAATATGTAGATGATGTAACTTATTATATAATTGTGTAAATGACATAATTCATGCAAATTAGATAAATTTATACCTAAGGGCAATTTTGCTTATATGCACACTACTTCCCACAAATGGTCCATTAAGTTAAGGTTTATTATGTTTATCACTATAATCCCTAACCTACAAATACTCTGGAGATTGGTAGTTCCTTAAACATGCAACTCACCTTCTTTTTTCTTTAGCACCATCAGTTGCAAGGAATGAAGAAGAGGTGGTTTTCCTCTTTTTTAAAGCAGTCTGGAATGTATAAGCTGTATCACTTTTCTCTTGGATTTGCTGGCATATGGAATCTTTCTCTGGTTTCTCTTGGTTCCTATAATAAATCAGTAAGGCATTAAACAGCAAGCACTGAACTAGAATCTCAACAGCTGCACTTGCACCCACAGACAATAAGAAAGGATGCTGAGAACAGTATATCAGAAGTTCATTTTCCATTCTTGAAACGGAGGACTCATAAGGAGGGTAGATAGTTGTACCTGAGCACACAGTCCACGCAGACATAGTTGTCCAACAATCCCTCAGGTACAGGAATATTCGATGGTGATAGATGAAAAGGGACCATATTTTCTCCATCCTGGACACAAACCAAGCCTCTGTGAAGTAACAAAGGAACCCAGCTGGATTCTGGAAAGTACTGCACTCCATGGACCACACACCAACCACGGATCATATCTAAAAGATAAATAAGGCTGACTCAAGATCTGGTATTATTAGTATTCCTTAATTCTGTTCTGTGGAATCTAATCATTTTGAACACAGTCCCAAATTATTTCAACCAATACATTATTATTCCTAAGCTTTCATTTCTGCCCTGGCTCCTTCCCTTCTTCCTACCACCCAAGATCTGATTACCTGTTTTCTCTTCAGAGGTGTCTGTTTCTATATTCTTGGTCATGTCTGTAAAATCAGTCTTTGTAAGAGACTGGAAGGGCAAATGGATATCAGAATTAGCAATATTATAGAATAGACTTTCTAAATCATTTGTTCTGCGAAAGATACGTAGCTACATTTGGAATGCTCACAGATAGAACATCAAGGCAAAAGGCTATTTTATTGCTCACTACCATCTTTTACTATTCAGAGATAAAATAGCTAAATGAAACTTTTATAGTCAGAAACAATCATGAGAAATTTATCAATATGTATTCATGGAAAGGCTTATTTTCACTATCTCAGAAAGCAGTATATGTAGCTACCTTTTGCTAAGGCAGATTACCAATCTATATAATAAAATGTCACCAATGTTAAATGGCAATTGTTTTCACAAATTTATAGCTAGAAGTCTGCCTCCATTATTTAAAAAAACCCTGATTTTTCCTCACCTAGAGTTGCCAGGTATTGTTCTTCTCAGTGCTTTTTTTGTAAAAAAAAAAAAAAAGTGCCAGAACTCACACACATCATACAACCCGCCTTGCCTACCCTACAAGGTTCCATCCAAAAAAGGTGCCGGAACTCCGCTCTGGGCGTTCTATGACAACAAAAAGCCCTGGTCCTTCTAAGCAAAGTTATTATTTCTACCAACTTCCTTTCTAATCATTTCTTCTTTCTAGTAGTATTTCGTCTAGAGCCAATAGCGAGGATCTACTTCAGATCCTGTCAGTCAAAATACTTCAAATATCAGGATTCAAAAGAAGAGCCTTATCTGCTAGAGTGCCTGCCCTTTGGAACAGCTTACTCTCTAAGGCAGCGGTTCTCAACCTATGGGTCGCGACCCCATTTGGGGTCGATCGACCATTTCACAGGGGTCGCCAAGCAAGGCTGTCCGCCATTTTTTCCCCCTTTTCCGGCGGGTGCCTTACCTCCCTTGAGCTGGGCCAGCTGGTGGTCGGCCTGCTCCGTCTCTGCCGCTTGCCAGCTACGCCTCGGCCAGCACAGGGGGCGGAACCACGCATGCGCGGTGCTCCCGGGCAGGGAAAGTCCTCGACTTACGACCGGTTGGGTAGTCTTCGACTTACAACCGGTTTAGTCCTCGACTTACGACCAGTTTAGTCCTCGACTTACGACCGGTTGGGGATTGCGGCATTAAAAAGGTTGAGAACCACTGCTGTAAGGTAAGAAGATCTGCCCATATCCTCCTATTTTTCCACATGAGCCTGAAGATATGGCTTTGCTGGTTGGCCTGAGGACCAGATGAGAGAATTCCACACTAGAGGTGGTTGCTAGATTGATGACAGATTTCAACCCCCACCCTCCTGCTTACTCTCTGCTCTCCACCTACCCATCTTTTTGGTTATCATATTGATGTATTATTCTCATTGTGTTCCTTTGTCATTGCTTATTTTATTGTTCTATTATTTTACTTCTGTTCTGTTTACACTCCTTTTATTTTTCGTCCTTTTTATTATTGTAAGCCGCCTAGAGTAGCCCCACAGCAAGACAGGAGGCAAACAAATTTAACAAATAAATAAAGTCTCCCTCCTGAAATCCCATCAACCTATATCTGGAACTAACCTCAAGACTGTCAGATTTCTCTTCTGGCTTGTTTGTTTCTTCTTTATTACAAGCGATTTTCAATGAAGATTTTTTATGATACTCTTCCAGCCTTTCTACAAGTTCAACATTCTGAGAAGAAAAAAATAACAATTGCAGTAATAGGAGGATGTAAGAATTAATGTCAGGAGTTTAGTCCTCTCATGAAATGATTACATTTATCTGGCAGTTCAGTAGCTTCAATGATCCTCAGAGTGATATCAGACACCTTTGCTGGCAGGATCAGAAGGAGGGGAAAGAACTTATTGGCAATTCACAATGTCAAAGCTGATGGGGTTCTGCAGGCATGAGGGAACCCACCTATGTTTCATAGAAATAACTCTTCTATCAAATCTAAAAGACAGATGGATTCCCACTAATTCCAAGTGTATTTTGTTAAACAAGTCTAACAAACTAGTTCAAATAAAGCCACAATGCATATATTGAGCACAAGGTATACAAATGCAATAAATAAAGCAATAACCATAATCCAACGTATCTAAATGAGATTGAGTTGGAGAAAGCTGATATAAAAATATAATGCAAAATAAAAGAGTGATTGCAATTGGTTTTGAATAAACAATTCAATGAACAGACATTTTTTCAATGGAAGAAATAATCACATAGGAGTTTGCAACTGTGCAAATACAGATTCTCATATAATAATCAATAGTGGTGAGAAAATAAGACAGAACTCTGGAACAATCTTCTCTCACCTTTCCTGTGGCACGAAGACCCAGCTCTTTACAATAAACTTGTAGTCGACCCCTACTTAGTGTACTGAAGTCTACCGAGATTGGAAAACATGAAGAATCGTTGACTGGGGTGCATACTGAAAAAACAGAAGTGCATTTTGTAGTTTTATGGCCTTGGCTGGGCATTTTAGAAACTAAACAAGAAACAGAAGATAAAGGAAGTTAAGAGTATGTAAAACCAACTTCCATTTTTCTCCATGTACAAGAAAATTTGTCCACTGAAGTTATTAGCAGTTTTTACTTCCCCAATAAGTGCACTGGACTATAGTTTCCATCAGTTTGAAGCTAAAATGACTTATATACCAATCCATCTGGAAGGCACCAATTTTAGGATGCTTGATTTATTGGATGAGCAAATGGATATCAAAGATACATTTCTTTTCTTGCCATGTTACTTTACCTCACTGACAAGATGGCACCTGGGCCTCCTGCCTCTTCCTTTCACATTAAAGATTTAGCAGAAAGTGTAAAGCATTTCAGAAGGTTGAAAAAGGCAGGCCTTAATTTAATAAGATGATTACTATAAATACAACTGAAATATAAACAGATTTTAAAAAAAGATGTTATGTGCTAGTGTTACTGTTATTTGTATAAATACAAGAAAAAGGTTTATATTTAACTTTATATGTATTGAATTTTAAGAATGATATTTGCTAAATGTTGATAAAAGAATACCATTGCATGAAGAGAAGATCAAAGAAATATATCACTAATTAACATATTATGGAATTATAAAATTAATCATGAGTTTTTTAAACATTGAATCTAGACAACACGCTTTTTACTAAGCACTAAAGAATGTTATAAAAAATAATAAAGTACATTAAAAAAAGAAAGTTGAAAAAGGCAGGCCAAAGATAGACACAGATCTAGCAATAATCCACAATGATTTCTAGTTCTCAATTATTTAAGGAAATGTTAGAGAAACTCACAAAAATCACTCTCCATCCTACTGTGTTCTAAATCAGGAATTTTCAAACTTTTTAATGCCAAGGAATCTGTTAAAAAAAAATATAGAACTCTGGCGATAGAACATTCTACATTTTAGTGACTTTTTTCTCCCTTTTAATTTCTCACAGAAGCATATCATGTTCTTATCGAATGCAAAAAAAAGGGAAAAAACAGACCAAGCTATCAAAAATAGTGCCATAAAAAACAAAATAGAAATACAAGTTAAGATAGGCAAGAAAATGGTAAGTGAGCACCTGTCCAGCCTAGACAAGTTCAAATGACCAGGACAAGATGGATTACACCCCAAGGTTCTCAAGGAACTGGCAGATGTGATCTCAGAACCACTAAACTATATTTTTCAAAGATCCTGGAGCACTGGGGAACTGCCAGAGGACTGGAAAAGAGCTGATGTAGTTCCCATCTTCAAAAAAGGGGGGGAAAAGGACCCAGGAAATTACAGACCTATCAGCCTGACCTCAATACCTGGGAAGATTCTGGAAAAGATAATCAAACAACAAATCAGCGAACACTTACAGGCAAACAAAGTCATTACTAAAAGCCAACACGAGTTTGTCAAAAACAGATCATGCCAGACAAATCTTATTGCATTCTTTGACCAAGTGATAAAATTAGTGGACCAGAGGAATGCTGTGGATATAATTTACTTGGTCTTCAGTAAGGCATTTGACAAAGTAGATCACAACCTACTACTTGATAAGATAGAAAAATGCGGGTTAGACAGCATCACCACTAGATGGATCCATAGCTGGCTGACCGGCCGTACTCAGCGTATGGTCCTCAATGGAACCACAATAGGAGCATTGCAAGAATAAAATATCAATGCTGATTAAATCCAATAATGCCAATAATCAAAATATCCAGCCCAAACAATGCTCACAAGATGACTAGGTAACCATATAATTTAGACAAATCATAGAATTATATTGTTTTGAGTCAAAATGCAGGTTTTAAGGGACCAAGCAGATTTCTACTTCTTATTACATCAAGTTTTCTTAATTTCAATATAATAGTATAATCTAGTGTTTCTCAATCTCAGCATCTTTAATAACAACAACAACAACAACAACAACAACAATAATAGTAGTAGTAGTAAAGTTGGAAGGGACCTTGGAGGTCATCAAGTTCAACCCCCTGCTCAGGCAGGTAACTCTATACCGTTTCGGACAAATGGCTGTCCAGTTTCTTCTTAAAAACTTCCAGTATTGGAGCAATTACCACTTCTGGAGGCAGGTTGTTCCACTGGTTAATTGTTCTAACTGTCAGGAAGTTTCTCCTTAGTTCTAGGTTGCTTCTCTCTTTGGTTAGTTTCCACCCGTTGCTTCTTCTTTTTTTTTTTCCTTAAATTTTTTATTTTTTGTAAAATATACATCTTCCAATATACACAATACATTAACTTTAGCTTTCCCCCCATACCCTCCTTGGCTTCCCGGAGCTGAATACAGGATCAAGTTCATATTTCCATAATTCTTCTACAATCATTAATCCAATTAAAACAATTATAATGCTAACAATCTACACACCCCTTTAACTCCAAATAAAGTATTAGAACTATACTAATTTTTAATCTACCTAATCCTTAAACGAACTAAAAAGAAAAAAAATAAATTCACATAGTTAAAAACACTATTATATCTATATATGTAATTTAAACAATAATCCTTTCCTAATTAACATAAAGAAAATTTTCATTTCATATAATTAATAGTATCATTAAAATATAAATTTATAAATAGAAACAACTACTAAACAAAAAATATTACCACTCAAATATATCCCATCTATAATCCTTCAATCTCCCCCCAAAAGTAAGAAA